AAATCAAAATAAAGGCCAAAGAAACATAGTAATCAGTAAATGAAGTTGAAAAATATAAAACCTTTAATAATAGACAATCCAATGCAAAGCATTATCTTTGCAGGGAGAAAATTCCTTCTAGGAGGAAAGGAATACAGGTGGTTCTTTGGGAGAAGTCAGATTCACTTAACAACAGCAGTGAATGCTTAATAACTGTGCCCAAAAATGTTGTAAAATGGAGCACAGCTCACTTAAGAACTACCTTGTTTAGCAACATAAATTTTGGGCTCAATTGTGGTCGTAAGTCAAGGACTACTGGTACATGACCTCAGAACTAGCTCCCCATCTCTTAATGGTTTTAAGCGAATGCCTTGTGATATGTAAAATGAATTAATTTCATATTTCTTTTATATCCTGCCTAACAAATAGCATTGTGGAAGACTGTAGCATTGTGTTAACTCTGCTACAAACACAAGTAGGTTCTGTGAAGCAGATTGCCTTCCTGTCAGTGTCCCAAGTAACATCCCTAACAAAATAAAACTCTGAGGTTTGAATTTCCTCAAAGTTCCATTTTATTAGAGATGTCATATTGGCACATCAGGGAAAACCTGAATCTGAAAGCTTCCAGGTTTTCCCTACCCAAAAAGTTCAGGTCCCTGCCCAGCACCCACATGTCCATCAAATGATCCAATCAGGTACCATCCAAAACAGGAGATGCCTCCCAGTCACTCCATCACAGCTACAGGGCAAGATGGCCTTGACTTTCTGAAAAATAATGTTATTATGGCTACATATCATTCACACACTGTAAAATCCCCCCTCCCATTTTCCCACAGTAGAAAATGTGACAGACCTGAAGTCCAAAAGGTAAAAGATGGCTTCCAGATCTGACACTTCCTTGTTTTGTTTACCAGCCTTCCCAGCCTTAGTCACCCTTTGGATGTGTGAACTTTAAACTTCCTGAATTCTCTAGTCAGCATGTCAGAAAGGGCCCAGACTAAGGAGGACTGATCTTTTTAGTTTATCTATTTAGAGGTGTTTGTTTTTATGGTTTCTGGAAAAGCATGCGTGTTTTATTTTCTCTAGCATAAGGGTAGTCCTCAACTTACAACAGTTCTTTCAGAGACCGTTTGAAGTTATAGTGGCACTGAAAAAAGTGACTTATGACCATTTTTTACCCAGGACAGGATGCTGTCAGTCCTGCAAGCCATCTTTTCTTTTTAGGTTTCAGGCCTGCCACACTTTCTACTGTCTACTTTCTACTGTGGGAAAATGAGAGGGGGGATTATGTGGAGTTGCGTGATGTGTAGCCATAATAACATTCTTCTTAGAAAGTCAAGGTCATCTTTGTCTCTGCACCTGGCCATAACTAGATGGCTGGAATCTGTCTTCATGGCAGTGAAAGATTGGACCATGTGGTGAACTTGTGGGTGTTAGGGGCAGGATCTTGAACTTTCAACTGGGTGAACTTCCAGATTCGGGTTTTCCCAGATGTGCCAACATGGCTCTTTTAATAAAGTGGAACTTTGAGGAATCTCTACCCTCGGATTCTTATTTTATTTTGGATGCTTTTTGGAACCCTGACAGATGCTTGGCAACTGGTTCATATTTAAGATGGTTGCAGTGTCCTGGGGACGGGACGTGATCACCTGTTGCGGCCTTCTGGCAAGCAGAGTCAATAGGGAAGCCAAATTCCCTTAACAACCACGTTACTAATTTAACAATTGCAGTGTTTCTGTGGCAAGAAAGGTGGTAAGAGGAGCAAAATTCACTGAACGACTGCCTCGCTCAGCAACATAAATTTTGGGCTCAATTCTGGTCGTAAGTCAAAGACTATCTCTACATTTCTCCCCAGCTTCTTTCTCATCTTTTTTGAACGGCACAAATGAGTGTTAATATTAGGTTCTTAACACTATTCCATGGCAGCCTCTCTCTCTCCCGGGTACTCTGCAAAGGAGTGGGATTACAATAATTCCCAAGCTGTGCAAGCAGCCGAAATCATTGGCAGCTGCTTTAAGATGTTGCGCATTTAAATTTTGCTTTGGCTGTGCCTGCCCTTTTTATTGTCACAATGTTTCTTCTTATGTTTGTGTGCCTATTTCCTTCCTGATCCCACCTCTGCTTTCACGGACTTCCAATGCTTCCTTCAGCAACCAGATCTGGTTCAAATTCAAAGGGCTGCAAAGGTATTTTCCACAGGGCGTCGACCCTCCCCTTTTAAGTATGGGAACACCTTATTTAAAAGGACTTTGTGTTGGTTTGTCACTTAACCAGACTAATCAAATACCAAATGCCAAATCCAGTCTAAACATCTGGCTGACTGACTGAACAACTATAATATAATAATAATAATAATAATAATAATAATAATAATAATAATAATAATAATAATAATAATAATAATAATAATAAACAAACTGACTACCTACAATGCCATGACCACGTTGCTAAGATCATTAACTGGAAATTGTGCCAAAAGTTTGGATTTGAGTACAGCAAAAACCACTGGGACCATCAGGTTCAGAAGGTTTTAGAGAATGAGAAAGTCAAGATCTTGTGGGACTTCCGAATCCAGACTGACAGGCACTTGGCCCACAACACACCTGACATAACAATAGTTGAAAAGAAAAAAGTATGGCTCATTGACATTGTAACACCTGGAGATGCACAAATTGAAGATAAACAGCAAGAAAAAAATCACAAAGTACGGGGACTTGCAAATTGAAGTTGAGCGACTGTGGGAAAAGAAATTGTGTGTTGTCCCGATTGTAATTAGAGCCCTTGGAGCAATACCCAAAGGGCTACCTTGCTGTTTGGAAATTTTAAATTTATCAGACTTGAACATTCTTATTCTACAAAAAACCACCTTACTTGGAACAGCTTTTATCCTTCGACTTTACCTTAACAGTTCCTAGGTCCTTGGTTAGGACTCGAGCTGTTGAGCTACCAACCAGCCCCAAAGGTTGTGAATCTCACCAAAGATTAACATAATAATAATAATAATAATAATAATAATAATAATGCATTTCTTCCATGAGCTTTGTTACTTAGAGCAGGCATTCATTGACCCTGTCTGAAAAATAGTGTTTGAATGGGCTGATTTATATTTCCTTGCCATTTTCCTGTTTCCTAGACCAGGATGGCCAATGGGTATCCTGCAAAATAGGGAGTGGGTGTTTCTTTTTGTTTCTATTCCATGTCAGTTCTGCATACTCTTACCCATCATTCCATCTGAATTAATTTTCATATGTATGTAATGCATATGTAAATATGAATATGTCTCAAAGCATAAATGAAAACGGTTGTTATAATCCATTTATGGCACGGAGAACTGTGTGGCATTGTTTGAAGACGTAGGGAATTGAATGGATGGCTAAGCCACAATCTGTGACTTGTTCTAAAAAGAATTTTTAAAAAATAAATTGCTATTTCATGTATAGGAATGTGTTTGGCCTCCAGCATCCATGTTGCAAACCTGAATTGCCTCCCAGCAAATCTGAATCACAGTGAATGTAAAAGAAAATCCATTTTGCTTTGGCTATCTCCATAAATAGTCTTGCCAAATTTTGTCGTATCTCCTTTTCGTGTATTTTCTAGAAATTCAAAGGAGCACAATTGATCTATTGCAAGAAAAGAAGCAAGACTGTTAGGGAGCTTTTCTTCTCTTAACAAGGAGCTGCTTTTGAGATATTTTGGGATTGCAATTCCCAGAATCTTAGCCAAAGATCATGCTGGTTGAAAATTCTAGAATTAGTCTCCTCACTTCTAGAGCAGGGGTCTCCAACCTTGGCAACTTTAAGACTTGTAGACTTCAGCTCCCAGAATTCCTCAGCCAGCTTTGCTAGCTGAGGAATTCTGGGAGTTGAAGTCCACAAGTCTTAAAGTTGCCAAGGTTGGAGACCCCTGTTCTAGAGGACACCTAGATTGGGAATACTGCTGGAGATCTGAGCTTTCATGAAGTTCTCTGGCCAACGTCTAATACAGAATGTGCCCTCAAATAGAAATTTGGCCTAAGTCAATGCATAAAATATTTGGGGAAAACTGGTAATAATGATGGATAGAGAAGGGAATTTGATCAATGTATTCTCACTGATGTATTATTTTGCTTTGTGTTTTCTAGGGAAGGAGATTGGTGGCTGGCTCACTCCCTCACAACTGGCCAGAAAGGCTACATCCCCAGTAACTACGTCGCACCTTCAGACTCCATCCAAGCAGAAGAGTAATTAAAATATTAACTAGATTGAAAAGAATTATGCTAAGCTTTTTGCCAGATATTATTGGCAAAATCATTCTAGTTATAACCTTTTGAAGGCAACCCTCAAATAATTTTGTAATTCTCTTAAACTGAGTTCCTGAGTATGTGACTTATGACTAGTTCACAAATGTGTATGTTCTCTAGATAACTTTCAGTGTCGAATGTAGTGGTGGTATTCTACCAGTTTGCACTGGTTCTAGCGAACCGGTAGAGCTGGTGAGCAGTTGGCCCCACCCATCCACCCCTGTCCTTTCCTCTCCTATATTTCCCTGTTTTGTAGCTCAGCTGATTCGCGTGGCATAGCAGATTGCCGCGCGTCAGCTGTTTTACTCACCAGCGCTGACATAGAAGGTATGTTTTTAAGTTTAAAATGGGTGGTTTTAAAACACTGTGTGTGTGTGCAAAGTGTGTGTTAGGTGCGTGTGCGCACAAAGTCTGTGCACACTGAACCATCTGTTAAACAGTTTGTATCCCAACACTGGTCAAATGGTGTGTTTACAGATGGTAGGAAGAATTTTTAGTTGCAGAAAACACATTGTGTTTCAAGAAGATGAGTTCCCACATTTCGATTTACTTCAGAAATAAAAGAAAATAGCAATAATCAACAAGCTTAGCATTTTTCTGGCATTTGCTAAGGTGCTGATAGATACAAATTTATCAGATAGCTTAAGCCATCCTCCATCTCAGGAATATTCTGTATTCATTTGTTACAAACCATATAACTGTCTCAATATCAAGAATGAGATTGCTAATCTTATTTGTGAGGGGTAGGTATTAAGTTGGTATTGAGTTCCAAGCTGACTTTGCTAGGTCAGCTTTGAAAATAAATAGCAATAACAATTAGACTTATATACCGCTCCACAGTGCTTTACAACCCACTCTAAGCGGTTTACAGAGTCAGCATATTGCCCACAACAATCTGGGTCCTCAATAGCAAATTAGCAGGCATATTAATCTAGGGAACTTTTACAAGCTATAGGGAAATGATATACATGATTGGTTTCTCCCTTCAAGTGCAAAATCAAAGAGATTCTGGAAAATTGTGCTTTGTTTTTCATTTTATTACTAATGTTTTGTATAGGGAGAATCCAGAATGCTGAACTGGAGGAATCCTAGACATTTGGCACCAAAACAGATATATGAGTCTGAAAGAAGATGTACCATATTTTTGGAGTATAAGACACACCGTTTTCCCTCAAAAAAAAAGGGGGGTTAGGGTATTTTTGGCCTACCAAATAGCAATAGCAATAGCAGTTAGACTTATGTACCGCTTCATAGGGCTTTCAGCCCTCTCTAAACGGTTTACAGAGTCAGCATATTGCCCCCAACAANTGTGTGTGTGTGTGTGTGTGTATGTATGTATATATATATACATAGCATTTGTATAATTATATATATATATATAATTTCTGTGTTACTGAATACAATAGCATGTGAAACACAAGGCTGACTGTTAAAAATGCATTTACACAACTAAAGATATGGCATTGTAATTCGGGACTGAATGAATTCATATACTGTTTAGCAAGCACTGAAGTGTGATTCCTTGGCACGTAGGCAGTTCACAATTCAGTTCTTGCTTAACATGTCATAATAAAACTCAAGGAATAGAAAATTACACCCCCATTTACATGTGTGGCTAAGTGATAATAATGATAGGCTTTAGGCTTTCCCCTATGTGAATTCCTGACAACTGTCTGTTATATTGTAGGGAGCCTCCTGGATTTTTTGAAGGGAGAGATGGGCAAGTATCTGAGACTGCCCCAGCTGGTGGACATGGCTGCACAGGTGAGTGTAAAAAGCTTTGCATAGGTTACAGATAGCAGTGCAGGGGTGTCAAATTCACATCGTCACAGAGGCATCACATGATATATTGGGGCTTTCCTCACCCCTTTGCTAAACCAGGTGTGGGTGTGGCCAGCACATGACGCATCCAGCCCCTAGGCCGGGAGTCTGACAGCCCTGACTTAGTGCATCTTTCTCACATCTATATCACAACTCAGCATTTGGGAGGTAGATTCTGGTATAGAAAGCAATCTACTGTTTTCTGTGCTCTTTTTGCAATCATCATATTTGGGACACCCCTTGTGGACAGCTGCCTGAACATTAAGATCTACCATTAGCAAGTGTTTTTATTTGTCTCCCACCATGAGAAGCAATACATTAGTTTTATTTATTTGTTTGCTATCTATTTCATTGCAAAGGATTATGTGAGGAAAAAGACAGAGACTGAAGCTTTTCTGTTCAAATACCATAACCACAACAACCAGTTAGAACAGCATCAGCTGGTGTATCAAGGAAAAATTATTGTTTCCTCAAACTTTTGGATCTCAGGATAGAGATTTTTTTTAAAATAAAATTTTTATTTTCAAACAAACATAAACACACAAAATATATAACATAAAAAATGTCTTCAACTACATACAGTTTGTCAATTGGTTATAAAATCTTTCTCCATCCGTTCATAGTCATCACTTGAGCTTTACCAAAAATCACTTATTGTCAATCAAATATCTTTGTATACATTATTATTGTACTTCATTTGTTTAATTATCNGGGTCGTGATGGATCAGACATGACTTCCCAACTAACAACAGCAACAAAATTCTTCATAAATGCTAAATAGCAATGTTAGAAATACGTTTTCCTAATAATCTTTGAGACTTTTACAAGAGTTTCTAAGCATGTTGGTGTCAACCATTTGGATTGTATTATTAATTGTGGTCAAAGTTTTGCCCATAGACATATTTTGAGATCAAGGTACAAGTCGTAGAGGAAACAAGGATCTAATTCAGAATTGTATATGTTTTTAAAACATTTTGGAATCCTGAATTTTGTATAATATCCTAAAACTGATACCACAGTCATATTAATAGAGCAGTACTTTTTCCATTTAATTGGAGCACTGAACCAACAGCGGAGAAGAAAGTGGTTTTCCCTTTAGATTTCTTCCGCTTAAGTGTTGTAGCAAAGACCTGCCATCAAGGCCTTCTGTGTTAGCCCCATACAAATTAGCTGCTGAGGTTTGACAGGATCAGAATGAAGACGGATTCATCTGCAGGCCATAATTAGATCAGCCTGGATGGCTCGATTGCTTTCTTCAAAGTTGTGACTTCTGCATTCCCCTTCCCCAGATCTTAATCCTGCTGTGAAGCTGATATGGTGACTGTAGCCTTAGTATCTGCTTTTATATAACTGGGATCAAGACATTCTGCTTTGACAGATTTGCTTATGTATGCATTCAGTATTTTCCCTATTCTGAAATGCCACTGTGAAATGGAATCAGCAGCTTGCATTTTATAAGAGGAATACATGCATGCATGCATGCATACATACATACATATCATATGACCGGATTTCATGTATGCTTTGATGTGAAATGTTTAGTTATTTGGAGATTGATGGGTTTTTTCCTAGGATTGATAATTTTTTTGAGAAGGAGAGAAGGAAGATGCACACATACTTAGACACAAAATATAGCCTTGTCATCTTGCATTAATCAGTCTTGATAAATATTGATTGAAATTATCTTTAAGATCATAGCCTTAAATAGAGCTCACTTTTTCTTTACAGGTGCCTACTGCCTCTCTGTCTCAGATTTTGACAATGCCAAGGGCCTCAATGTGAAGCACTACAAAATTCGCAAACTGGACAATGGTGGCTTTTATATCACATCCCGTACACAGTTCAGCAGCCTTCAGCAATTAGTGGCTTATTATTCCAGTAAGTGTCATTTCAGCTTCTAATGAGGGTTGTGTCCGCTTTGGAGATCTTTGTCTGAGATACCCCAGAATAAGGAAAAGAGTGAATATATTTGGACTATATTTGAAGACATGATTACTTGATCACATCAAGTTGTAAAATATTAAATGTGAAATGAACAATGAAAGATTGCATCATTGAATCCAAATTTAACTGTTCTAATGTTTGACAGTACATTGCCTTTTCACCTTTGAAATGTCGCTGCAAGCGATATGAGATTTCTGTTCATTGCTCTTGAAAATAAAATAAAGTATACATTTTGTGACTAATACAGTGACACACTGAATAGTATATATTCAATGTATAGACATTCCTCTACTGACAAACAGACTAGGTTCCAAGATACTGTTCATAAGTCTGCTTTATTGATAAATCCAAACAAGAATAAAAATCACTCTTGCACTTAATTCCAAACATTCACAATCACTACAATAGACCCCACACAACTAAACAACAAACGATATGCATTAAGATCAGCAACCAGTATGTGAGCAAAAATCAGGAGAAGGCAAGAAAGAATTAGTTATAGTGTTTGCAAGGAGAGTAATGTCTAAACCAACATATAAATAGTCCTCCTTTAGAGACTATTTACAGTTAAAACAGTAATCGAAAAGTAACCAATCTGCAGTCAATAAAGCAAAGGAAAATTGAAGAAAGATAATACATTTTTGATGTTTCACAACCGCTTCATTTAATGGCCAAGTTGTTGGCTCCAAGTGTGGTTACTAAAAGAATGGAATGGAATAGAATAGAATAGAATAGAATAGAATAGAATAGAATTCTTCATTGGCCAAGTGTGATTGGACACACAAGAAATTTGTCTTTGGTGCATATCCTCTCAGTGTACATAAAAAGACAAGATACAATGAGGAGCACCTGTAGGATGGGTATCAAACTCAAGGCCCACAGGCCGGATCCAGCCTTCAGAGTGCTTAGCTCTCGACCACCGAGCCACCCTGGAAGCAGTAAAGGACCAGCCTGCAGTGCCTCTACTGGTGGAAATGGAGCTTGGGAGGAGCGCCCATGGCCTTCCTGAGCTCCGTTTTCACAAGCAGAGGGCTAGCAAAACAAACTAAAAACAAAAGGAGAAATGTTTCCTCTTTTGCATTTGAGCATACAAGAAGGGACAGGAATGGAGAAATGGAAAGAGGAAAGACAGAAAAAGAAGGGAAGGTGGGAAGAGAGCAAGGAAGGAAAAATAAGGAAAGAGGGGAAGGAAGAAGAAAGGAGAATGAAGAGGCAAGGCAGGCAGGCAGGCAGGAAGGAGATTATAATGAGAGTGAGGGAGGGTCTGAGGGAAGTCATGCCTTAATAATTGGCCACCATAGGTGTCCCCAATATGAGTGACATTGAGCTGGTCATGTCCACCCTGGCTCCACAAGGTCAAACACAACCCACAAATTAAGTGGCTCTGAATGAAATTGAGTTTGACACCCTTGCTCTAGAGGACATTCAGAGGTACCTAAACTGCTCTGAACTGGGACTTATTTGCAATAGTACTTAGAGTTATGTATTGTTACATAGTGCTTTACAGCTCTCTCTAAGCAGTTTACAATGTTAGCATATTGCCCCCAACAATCTGGATCCTCATAGGTGTTCTTTTGTTCTGCAACTGATTTCATTCTTTCATAGAACATGCAGATGGTTTGTGCCACCGTCTTACCAATGTTTGCCCAACCAGCAAGCCTCAAACACAGGGCTTGGCAAAAGATGCTTGGGAAATCCCCCGGGAATCTTTGCGGCTAGAGGTCAAACTTGGACAAGGCTGCTTTGGAGAAGTCTGGATGGGTAAGAATTTCCAAGAACAGATATGCTCATTTTATCTGATGAACGATACATTTCTGAAAATGTATTTTGAATAGATGAATAGAATAGAATAGAATTCTTTATTGGCCAAGTGTGATTAGACACACAAGGAATTTGTCTTTGGTGCATATGCTCTCAGTGTACATAAAAGATAAGATACATTGTCAAGAATCATAAGGTACAGCACTTAATGACAATCATAGGGTACAAATAAGCAATCTGGAAACAATATCAATATAAATCGTAAGGATACAAACAACAAAGTTACAGTCCTGTAGTCATAAGTGGGAGGATATGGGTGATAGGAACAATAAGACTAATAGTAATAGTAATGCAGCCTTAGTGAATAGTTTGATAGTGGTGAGGGAATTATTTGTTTAGCAAAATGATGGCATTTAGGGGGAAAAAACTGTTCTTGTGTCTAGTTGTCTTGGTGTGCAGTGTTCTATAGCGTCGTTTTGAGGGTAGGAGTTGAAACAATTTATCTACAGGATGCAAAGGGTCTGTAAGTATTTTCACAGGCCTCTTTTTGACTCATGCAGTGTACAGGTCCCCAGTGGAAGACAATTTCAGTCATGGAAAAGCACTTAGAACAAACTTTTCACTTTTGGCTGTCCTATGACTTCAGAAGTGATTGTTGAGTTGCTAAGGAATCAGCTGCATTGTTTTATGACTTGCTATAGCAAAAGGTGTAAGGTCAGTTATAACAGCTGCTTTAGTAATATGATATCAGCTGGTGGACCTGCACCAAAAGAATGTGGGATCTTGTACTAACCATGCATTACTGCTGTTTACTATTTCATTATTCAATGGCTATTTTAATCCAAACATGTAAGGTGCTTAGAGTTACTTCAGTGACTGAGGTGGCCTCTAAATCAATAAACCAATGAACAAATAAGAGTATTCAAACACATAAATATCAAATATAAAAGATTGTGGGAAGTTTCCAAATGTAATCCTTTGAGCAGACTCATTGAAATCAATGGAAATGAAGATAATGACAAGGATAGTGGGACCAAACTCCACATCTCAAATAGATATTGGCCATCTACTAAATACTAATACCTTTCAATTTGCATAGGGTATTAATATTATGAATGTTGTCAGACAAGATACAGAAAATCAAGTTATAAGTTGGTTCAGTATGGATGAGCTGAGCATTCTGTTACCTTAAGAGCCGGAGTATAAGATTTCTGAGGAAACAGATCCAAGAGGATCTCTTAATCATTTTAATTAAAGAGGGTTGAGCCTGTTTGATACCAAGCTTGAAAACTGTTTTTGCATTTCCATTTTTATTACAGAACTGTATGTGGAATTAGAACTCTACCTGCAGTTCCAACTTCTTAGGAGAGGGGTACAAAGTTTAACATTAGTTTGACATTCACTTCTGACTGTTATATTTTGACTAGTTCTTTCTGAAATTGGGGATTTATAAGAGGAAGCATGGACGTTTTGGAAGTGAAATGTGTGCATCAAATTCACAAGGATTATTGTTTTTGACAGTAATTGTACTCTGCTGTATTCAGTATGTACAGTACATACCATATACTTGGATATACAATGGCAATAGCTCTTAGACTTATATACTGCTTCATAGTGCTTTACAACCCTCTCTAAGCGGTTTACAGAGTCAGCATATTGTCCTCAACAATCTGGATCCTCATTTTACTGACCTCAGAAGGACAGAAAGCTGAGTCAACCTTGAACTACTCAGAATCGAACTCCCGGAATGAGCAGTGGAGTTAGCCTGCAGTACTGCATTCTAACCACTGCACCACCATGGCTCTTTTGTATATAACTGTATATAACAGTGACTGTAGTATCAACATACTCCAAATCTGGTGGCTTACATGTTTTAATAGCTGAAGAAATTGGTACCTTACAATCTAGGCTCGTACAAGCCATGCTTCTTGTTGAGAAAACTAATTCTGTTTCTTCTCCAGGGACCTGGAATGGTACCACCAGGGTAGCAATCAAGACTCTAAAACCTGGGACAATGTCTCCAGAAGCATTTCTACAGGAGGCTCAGGTTATGAAGAAACTGCGCCATGAAAAGCTGGTGCAGTTGTATGCTGTGGTTTCAGAAGAGCCAATTTACATCGTAACAGAGTATATGTGCAAAGGTTGCTGTTATTACATTTGCTATTATTCATGCTTTCTCTTTCTCTATATGCTTTCTTCT